GGTGCCTGGTTTAGAGTTTTCATCACAAACAGGTGAATCTCCCCAGATGGGCTGTGCCAAGCAGGTGAGTCTCCCCAGATGGGCTGTGCACCCACTGCTCTATCGTGGTCCTCATCTCGCCACTGTTGCACTGATTCACACACGTTAGTCCTTTACCTATGCCCTCGGGGTGATCTGGCGTGGGGTGCAATCTTCGTGGTGTACTGTCGAATTGGGGTGGCTCGCGTGGTGTTGAGGGTTCTCGCACCAGAGTTCATCGGGAAATACTGGCCTATAATTTTCTTGTGTTGTCATTATCTGGTTTTTGCATTAAGGTGATGTCATCACAAAATGCACAGGAAGCACTTCTTCGTGGGGGCCGAGAAATAATTTAACAGAGGTCACCCTGGGCGTTGTTTGGAGGATGTTTCACCTCTTCCTTCTCTGATGCCGGTTCCCTGACAGCAGCCTCAGACCTGAGAAACTAATTTCCAGCAGTTTCCCGATGGTCAGAAAAGCTACAGATGAACGGGGAGTGGGCAGTGGCTTGCAGTTGAGCCAGAGACTCTCAGCGGGAAGGCCCCCGCTGGGGGTGGGGTGGGGTGAGGGCTCCGGGACACAGCCGACACCGGGGTCCTGAGAGGGCCCTGGGATGCGGGGCGCCCTGCACGGCGACGAACGCCCGGGGTTTTGTGGGGTGTCTTGAACATACTCCTGGACACTGTGCAGTCTGTTCCGATGCATGAACTCAGTGCATTTAAAGCTGAAGTAAGAACACGCCCAGTGTCACATGTGAGAAGCAGAAAACCCATCTGGGGGAGGCTGTGCGCGGCAGGTCGAAAGGCAGTTTCCTGCTGTCAGCCCCTGCGCGCCGTGGGTCTCCACAGGTGGCTCTTCCCGGGAGTGAGGCGCGCCAAGGGGCGCAGTCCTCGTCCGGCCCGGGGCCGCCTGTCAGCCAGCTCTGAGCTGCGCCGTGGGTGGCGTGTCACACACGCTGTGCGAGCGTGGGCTTTGCTCTTGGTTTCCCGAAGAAGCCTCCTCCACGCCCTCTGGCCAGAGACTGGGGAGGCCGGACTCGGGCGAGGAGGCTGCCCGGCTCAGCTGGCGCCTGGGGATGGTAGGAAGCCCGACAGCAGCTGAACGCTCCGCAGGCGGGATGTGCTGAATCCAGGTCCCTTCCTGAAAGGGCCAGCAGGCCCTGGACCACCCGCCCACCCCGCTCCCCGCACCGTCTGCGCTGCGGAGCACCGGCATCGGCCGGGCCGGGCGCCTGTTCTCCAGCCATTTTAGCCAAATGATCGTGTGTGTGGCTGTGTGGACGTGGTGTTCCTTTCTGGTACAGGAGCTTCTAGGTGTGTGGAGCGGCTGTAAACACAGACACTCGCGGGCACAGCGCGTGGCCGGCCCCCCTGCCCTCGGCTGTAGGCGCGGGGGAGCCCGGGAGGCAGGCGCGACTGCGCCGCGACGGCACACAGAGCAAACACTGTCTGGTGAGCGCCCGGAGGCCGGCCAGGCCCCAGCCCCACCCCACCTGCTGTCTAGATGATGCACGAAGCAAGGGGGAGGGCGGGGGACCCTGGGGCACCCGCCCCCGGCCCCGCCAAGTGGCCAGGACGCGAGGCGATGGGGCGGGGGTGGGAGGCACGTCTGGGGGGCCCGGGGTCCGCAGCCCGTAGCTGCCGGGGGTCTCTCCCTGCTGGTGACGACACCGTCAAGCTCCAGCTGCTCTTGCGCCCCTGGTCTCCATCGGCCCTGGCCGTTGCTGAGAAGCGCCTGGAAGTGGCGTTGCAGCTCAAACAGCTTCTGTGTGTTTGTTTTCTACTTTTGAGTCTGATTAGACATTTGTCTTGATTTCATTGATGTTTGGGATTGGCTTTTTGATTTGTTTTGTTTTTAAAAGCTTAGCGGGTCGTCTTTATTATAGCCAGGAACCCAACATTTTTTTTTAAAGATTGATTTATTTGTGCATACAGAGCTGGGGTACAGGACAGAGGTGCTAGGGCGGTGAGAGGCTTCACCAGAGACAGAGTGGGGAGCAGAACAGGCCGACTGACTGAAATACGGGGCTGAGGGGAGCTGTGGGCTGACAGGGGAGGTCTGCTGTACTCTCTGGTCACTCCCCAGCCTGGGATGGAACTTGTGCTCCCGTGGCTGCACACAGGTTCACAGTGCTGCGCTTAAACCCGTTGCACCACCAGGGAGGGCCCGAAAGTCACTAGTTCTTCTAAGAAATGAGATAAAGTCCATGCAAATAAGATAGGTGTGGTATTGTATATAAGCTTTGCTATTTTCTTATCATTCACCTGTGTTTACATAAAGACTTTCATTAATCTGGAGGCTGCAAAGTTTTTAGTTTTGTTTTGGAGTGTTATTTTTTAATTTA